AAATGAGAGAGGGTGGCATTTGCCTGGGTGAACTGCAAGGGGAGTGTTGGGATGGCTGTGTGAGGCGTCCCTAGAGGAGGGCTGGGAGCCGACTGCATGCTGGGATTCAGATGGGAAGAATCAGATGACTCCATGCTTTATCAGTATGTGGTTGACAGAAATAGCACAGTCAAGAAGGAACTTTGGCTTTGAGGAAAATACCTGATCTATTTTCTGTAGGCAAAGCAGAGAATCAGGTGAAAAGCCATCATCTTCTTTTAACTTGCTAACAACTCTTACAAAATCTGCCAGGGACTGGGACATAAATGACGGTAAGACACATAATTATTATAGGGTTTCAGGCATCCGTGTTTCTCTTTTCCCTATTAATTCTGAAATATGGCGAGGCTGTGTTCAGATTTTTAAAGAAGCATTAATTCTCTCAGGTCATTCTTTACAATCTGGGTCCATATTTTTCCACTAGAGCAAACCACTTCCTTTTTGCTGTATTTTTTCCTCCCTCCCTCCCTTTCTCCCTATCTTTTTTCTCTCTCTTTTCTTTCTTTTCATCTTTCTCTTTCTCCCTTCTTTTCTTTTTGTCTTTTATTTTCTTTCTCTTTCCCTTCCTTCCTTCCTTGATTCCTTCCTTCCTTGCTCCCTTCCTTTTTTCTCTTTATTTTTCTTTAGAATACATTATACTCTGGTTTATAGGACCTAAGAGTTAATAGTATTTAAAACTTGATGCCCCTATTTAGTCAAAATAACGGTTGGGACTGGTTTAGTTTCTAACACAGGTTTCCCTCTTGTCTCCATTGTCAATATTGGTTGAGAAATTGTCAGTTTCTAAACTAATGAAATAGCTCTTTATGATTTTGGAGGAGACGCCCTGCAGAATTTGTATCAAATTAATTGTAATTCCTAAAGGTTTACCCTGCTTTTTGCAGGTGCTATATAAATGCCAGAGCCTCAGGGCAACAACATTAACATCTAAGGTGGGCTGGGGAGCTCCTTCTGCTATTCCTGCTTCAGGAGAAAGGAAGCTGGCCTGAATAACCCACACATCCAGGCTCATGGTTGATTACTATGTCGTCTCTAAAGATAGAATGTTTTGGTTTTATTTCCTGGAGTAAATAATCAAGCAACAAAAATGTGAAGGGGACTCACTTTAATTGCTTCCACCCTCTACCATAGACTTCTTACTAAGACAAGAAAATAAAGTAAAAAGAACATTTTAATTTCAAATTTCAGGTTAACAACAACAACAAAAAAAAATAGGAAATTCCTACTATTGGGAAGGGAATGCGTACTTCCATGTCCTGGAAACATAACAAAGGCGAAAAAAGAATATTTGGGACAATGCTTAAGTTTTACATTTCTCCAATTTAATAATGAAGCGACAACATTGGTGTAAATACTTGGGGTTTGTTGTCTCACACCAAGAAAATTTAGGACACAGACACTCATGGAAGAGTTGAGTGGAGGTTTAATAGGCAGAAAAAAGAGAAAGGAGAATAGCTGTCTCCCCAGTGAGAGAGAGAAGGGCTTCTGAAAGGGAAAGACCGGCTAGTGGCAGAGTGCACCAGGTTTATAGACAGACTTGAGAGGATGGTGTCCAATTTACGTAAGGCCCACAGACTGGTTATATCAGGTGTGAGGTTTACACAGCGTGCGGGGAAGGCTGGCCGCCCCACCAGAATCTTATGCAAATGGACTTTCCACTTGACCGGTGCCGTCTTGTCTGCTCTTTCCCGTACACGTGGCTGACAAAGGGAAAGGGAGACTCCCCGTTTTGAACATGCCTAGTCCTGGTAGCTTCTTCCTGCTGACCTTCACGCGTGCGAGCTTCCAGCTGGCTTGTCCATGAATGCCGCTCAGTCTTACAGGCTGCTGTTTCTTAGAAAGTGACTTTGGGACTCCTTTTCATTAAAAAGGAAAACCTTTACCGAGTCCTTCTGTACCCTCGCTGTCTGCTTAAGTAATTGCTTTTTAACTCCTCTATCAACAACAGGACTAAACAATGAATGGTAACATTTTAAAGTCAGGGTTGATTGAGGTATAATTTACATATGGTGACGGGGTTCTGGATATACGACTCCAAAATATGTTACTTTGGCATTTGAGGAAACGGCAGATGCAGAAAGGTCACTCTCTCCTTCCCCTTGCTCGTCTCCCATGAAACAGGTCATAAAATAACTCTCTGACCTTCCTCTAAAGTAGATCATGGAACCTTCACTTCAGGGCTACCCTCCCTATGCCCTGGGAAAGGAACACCTCTATCCTTCAAGACACAGAGATGTCAAGTAGAATCTGAAGAAACAGGCCTTGCTCAATTTCCCCCAGTTTATTACTATTATATCAAGGCTTTGGGGCTCCAATCATATTTCTCTCCTATACACTTCTTCGCCAAATTTTGCATAAAAATACACAGGTTTTTCTGTTTTGTTAGGCCTTCACTTCTGAAGTCTTCACGTTCTGTATAACTTGTATTAAATAAATGTGTATGCCTTTCGGTTGTTAGTCTGTCTTTTGTTTTAGTACTCTCAGTTATGAACCTAACAACGAAAGAGGAAACAAATCCTTATCGTACTTCACGATCGCCGCAATCATGATGCAGAATGTGCCGGTCACCCCCGCTTCTCCCTGCCTCATGGCAGGCGATCCTCTCCCTGAGACCCAGCCCTGCAGCCCCTCATCCGCTTTCTGTTCCTAGTGTTGCCTTCTCTAGAATGGCATCTAAGTGGACTCAGTCTGTGCCTGGTTTCTTTCGTGTAGACTGATATTTTGGATATTCATTTGTTGTTGTTTGCATCAGTGATTGTTGCCTTGTCATTGCTTAGTAGAATTCAGGTGTATAAATGTACCAGAATTTATTCACCAGTTGATGGAAATTTTGATTTTTTTTTCTTTTCCTCAAGGCTTTGGCTGCTGTGAATAAACCCACTGTAATATCTGCATGCAAGTATTCATGTTACATATGTTTTCATTCCTCTTGGGCAACTATCCAGGAGTGTGACCGCTAAGTCTTACAGGAAATATACATTAAACCATAGAAGAAACTGACAAACTTTCCAAAGTGGCTATACCATCTTGCATTCCTACAGGCAATTTATGAGAATTCCAATTACTCCTCATCCTCATCAGCATTTGGTATTTTCCCCATATTATAAATTTAATTAATATTATATGCATTGTTTCAAATATTATATATAACTTTGTGGGTTCTGTCCCGCTGCAAAGAATTGTTACTACAGTCAATCCAAATCCTCTAGCTCAATTTTCATTATAGTTTGGAGGACAGGTTGCTGTTATGGAAATCATTATTTGCTTCTGCTTAGAGCAAAGGCATTAATTACAGCTTCTATTAGAATTTTTTCTTCCTTTTATTAAACCAATATTGATTGATTGCCTAACATATGACAAATACAAATAACACCTGATTCCTGCCTTCTGGGATTTCAGGTTCCTGTGAGGGAGATGGACCAATACACACAATTGCAGTATAATGTGGTTCATGCTAAGTCTCAGAGGGAGAATGGCTACTCGGTTCGGCATGAGGCCGTTAGGTGTTAGCAGTATTTCTCATATCTAAAGGCAGAACTGACTCTGGAATGGCAGGAAAATTGTTGAAGTTCATGTGGCTGAGAGGTTTTTATTTCCCCTGACACCAAAGATGTGGTATCTTTTTCAGCATGGATTCTCCAACATCAACTGAGTGTCCTGTTGAATTCAATTCCATTCTGGCACCTGGTTCCACAACACTGCCTCCGCTTCAGATCCCAGCCACAGATGGTCACCCAGGCTACCCACATTTTTGCCTGGCTGACTATAAATTTGGAGGTTCCCTTGACACCTCCTTGTGCAGGTTTCAAAACTCAGTAGAATGACTCACAGAACTCACAGAAAGCATTACTTACTATAATTGGTTTACTATAAAGAATGTAGCTTAGGAGTAGCCATGAGAGAGATGCACAGGGCAGGGGACTGCGGCATGTGTGTGCCTGGGGCTCCCACACACTCCCTGGATGTGCCACCCTTCCAGCACCTTGATGGGCTCCTCAACCTGGAGCTTCTCCAAACCCCACTGTTTGTGGGTTTTGATGGAGGTTTCATTACATAGCATAATTGATCAAATTATTGACCATTGGTGACTGAACACAATCTCCAGCCCCCCTTCCCTTTTCAGAGGTAGGGGAAGTCCGGCTGAAAGTTCCAACCTTCTAACTGCTTGGTTGGTTCCTCTGGCAACCAGCCCCTATCCTGAATCCATCTGGGGGCCCAGCAAGAGTCACCTCCTTAACATAGACTCAGTATTGTTGAAAATGGCTTATTATGAGTAACAAAAGACACTCCTATCACTCCAGAAATTCCAAGGGTTTTAGGAGCTCTATGCCGGGAACCCATGTCAATGATCAAATATATTTTCTACCATACCATAGGAAGTCTAGCTTATTATCGGAAAAAAAAATCATTCATGACATTTGTTAAAACAATAAGGCTGAGTTTATTCAGGGGGACTATCTTGATAGGTACAGAGACCACTGCCATGGGGTTTTACAGTAGGGAGTGAAATTGGACTCAGCTCCAAATATATCAGGGACAAGTGGGGATTTACAGCCAAGGGTGGGAGTCAGTAGGTGCCAAATTATGAACAGAAAACCTCAGGAGTACAGGAGATTCTGTCTGAACTTACTCAGAATCCTGGAGGCACTAGAGTGCTGAGATATTACCTGGGGATGGTGGGGGAGTGAGGACACTGATCAGAACTTATGTTGAGGGCGGGAGGTTCTGGCTAAACCGACTCATCAGGTTTCTGGCTCTTGGCCTTGAGGACAAGGCCCAAGGATGAGACCTTGTTCAAAAAGTAGCTCAGAGGAGCCTGACTAGAGTTGGGTCAAGAAAAGAACCTTTGTTGTTATTTGACCCAAGGTTTAGAGTTATTTATCCAGAGCTCATTTCTTCATGGGTGTGTTTGTAGCTACTGAAAATGAGAGGGTTTCTAGTCTGACCACCAATTCTCTTACCTCAAGCACAGCACTGGCAACATTTCGAAAGGGCTGGCGCATAGATCCTCTCCTCCGACTGTGGCACTGACTGGCGTCTCCAGGCTTCTGTGTGCACTTAGATCTTTGTTATAGATTTATTATAGAATATTCCGTGGTTTCTGTGGTTTTATAGTGAAGTCTATATGCTTATCTGTGCGAGTTCCTTTTGGTCAGAGACTGAATCACATTAATCTTCATGTCTTCCACATTTAGTAAAGTGACCACCTTGATATGTGTTAAATGCAAGAATGAAATGCATCAATTTCCTAATCTCTAAAGCAGAACTAATAATTTATATGACCAGGACTAAAATAATGTAAATGATTTGGGAGCCTTTAGTGCACAGAGAGCAAGTCCGCACAGTCACAGCAAAGCTCTGATAACTTAGGTAAAATATCTGTTTTTTGACTCAGATAATCACCTGAATTTTCCACTTTGTTTGAACGAGAAACTTATTGAAAAGAGAGACAATGATCACAGGAACAATATAAAATAAATGAAGGGAGAGTCGTGGGGCATTTCTGTTCTACTTTACAAAACAGTTTGTAATTTGAGGGCAAATCTCTTAGCTCTGTGGATGGAAACATGGTCCTCAACATAAACATTTTTTTTTTTTTTTTAGATGGAGTCTCTCTCCATCGCCCAGGCTGGAGTGCAGTGGTGCAATTTCGGCTCATTGAAACCCCCACCACCTCCAGCGTTCAAGCAATTCTTCTGCCTCAGCCTCCTGAGTAGCTGGCACTACAGGCGCGCACCACCACACCCAGCTAATTTTTGTATTTTTAGTAGAGACGGGGTTTCACCATGTTGGCCAGGCTGGTCTCAATCTCTTGACCTCATGATCCGCCTGACTGGGCCTCCCAAAGTGCTGGGATACAGGTGTGAGCCACCATGCCTGGCCAATATAAACATTTTAAATATTTATGTTGTGTTTAATATCTAGAAAATAATATTGGTCAGAGCTATTGAGCAATGGGTTCTACTCGGTGACAACGGAACCATTCTATTTCATGTGATTCGTCTACACAGTTCCTCTAACATAGCAGGTGTGCTTACCACCACACTGTCTCCTCCCTGTGTCTGTGCACCTGCAGGAGGTTTGAGTACAATACAGCCGGGGCATTTAACGTGGCATTTCCTCCTCCCATTTTTCATGAGGGTTTTGAATTTTATTAGAAGTTTGTCAAGTACTATTTTCTGATTTTTTTTAAATGTAAAAGCCTTCTTTTAGATGTTTTGTTTGCTTACCTGTGCTTCCTTGCTAGATTGCGGTTCTTACGTATCAGGATCTTGAATGGAATTTCAGAGATTTACGTTGAGATCTGTTTCTGAAGCCCACTGACGGTTAGTTACTCTTGGTGTCTCCCACTTCATTAAATTTAGATGAAAATTCTCCTCGGTTTGGTTTGTTTTGTATTCAGTCACCCTTTGATTGGATACAAAACATTTTGAAACAAACATCTATTGTTTTCTAGGTTAAATGTTTTCTTTATTATTTTTCCTCAGGGACAGGGTGCTTTGTTCCCCATTGCTTACATTGAGGGTTGAAATTCAGAACAGAAACAGTCTTTCCAGTTCCACAGGAAGGAGGATGGCAACGACATATATGAGGCCACGGTGGAGAAATCAAGAATTAGACAATTGTAAGGGTTTATCACCTGTCATATTCTATTTGGTATTGACAAGATATGACCAAAGGAATCCTCACCTGCTCTGGTATAGGAAAGCTTATGACAAACCATTAGAGGAATGAGCAGGAGCAGAGTGGAGTAAAGAAAGAATAATAGGGCGTTAAGGTGTTCGGGGACAGCAGCAGGTTTTTTTTTTTTTTTTTTTTTTTTTTTTTTTTTTTTTTTTTTTTTTTTTGGAGAAATGGCTATTGCTTTAGGAAAGAAAAGCATGGGTTACCTCTCCTTGCTTCTGTGGGGTCTGGAAAAATATGAGAATAAACACCTTCCCATCTATCTTTTTTTCCGTCATTTTCTAAAGGTGACTTTATTCCATGGTAAAGAGTTAACTTATAGAATAAATCATGTCTAAGTGTTTAAGTGGAAATTTTTTGTTTACTTCTCAGTTAAAATACAGAAAGAAGAAACCCTGGTGTTCAAAAACAATTTCAGAACTCAAATTTACATTTCCCCTTGGAACAATGAAGCTGCCACCATCCTGAAAAGTATTTTCACAGAAAAAATAAAGGAAGGTGGAACTAAATTTCTGGAACACAAATCAGGAATTTATGTAACAACTAAGAAAACTGGATATCTGCTATAAACCCATCCAAAAAGGAACAACATATCAGGTTAAATACAGGAAAACATTTCACTTAAAATTTAGAGGTGTTAGGATCAGGTCAATAAGTAATAACACTAATGTGTCTTTCATAAAAAGGAAAGACGTCCATGTATGATGTAATGTTTCCACAGGAAAACAGTTGCCTTTATTAATAGAGGTGACTTTTCAAGGCTTCTGGCGATCTTTTTCTTTCTTTCTTTCTTTTCTTCCTTCCTTCCTTCCTTCCTTCCTTCCTTCCTTCCTTCCTTCCTTCCTTCCTTCCTTCCTTCCTTTCTTTTTCTTTCTTTCTTCTCTCTCTTTCTTTTTCTCTTTCTTTTTCTTTCTTCTTCCTTTTTTTTTTTTTTCAGATGGAGTCTCACTCTGTCATCAGGCTGCAGTGCAGTGGTGCAATCTCGGCTCACTGCAGCCTCTGCCTCCCAGGTTCAAGCGATTCTCCTGCCTCAGCCTCCCGAGTAGCTGGGATTACAGACACGTTCCACCACGTCCAGCTAATTTGTATTTTTAGTGGAGAAGGGGTTTTACCATGTTGGTCAGGCTGGTCTCAAACTCCTGACCTCAGGTGATCCACCCACCTTGGCCTCCCACAGTGCTGGGATTACAGGTGTGAGCCACTGCACCCAGCCCTAGTGATTCTTTTATGTGACTCATGTAGTTTTGAAAAGTGCTGAAATAAAGTAAAAATTTTACTTAGCACAGAGAGGGGTTGACTTTCTTTTTCTCTCAATGGTGAGTTGACTTTCTTTGAATAGTTTTGCCTTTACGTGATTCCACTGGTTTCCATGTATTTATAATTGTTTTTGGAGTCTGGCCTTGAGAACATTTTCAAGGTTACTAATATGCACTAAGCACATACTGATCACACTGCCAAGCATTGTGTTCGGGATGGAGAGTCACAGATGAGAAGAAATGGCCTTTGGGGAACATGGAGTCCCGTGGGAACATGGAGTCCCGTGGGAGCAGGAGAGCTGAAAGCAGTTGCAGCTGATGAAATCGGGGCTTGACACCACCAAGTATGGCTCTTGGCATTTGAGAAAACCACAGAAGCAGGAAGGACCTTTTGACCTTCTCCCACCCCTCGCCCCTGAAGCAGGTGATAAAAACCAGAAAAGAGGCCGGGCACAGTGGCTCACGCCTGTAATCCCAGCACTTTGGGAGGCCAAGGCAGGCGGATCACCTGAGGATAGGAATTTGAGACCAGCCCGGCCAACATGGTGAAACCCCATCTCTACTAAAAATACAAAATTAGGCAGGCGTGGGGGCGGGTGCCTGTAGTCCCAGCTACTCAGGAGGCTGAGGCAGGAGAATCGCTTGAGCTCAGGAGACGCAGGTTGCAGTGAGCCGAGATCGCACCACTGCACTCCATCCTGGGCGATGGAGTGAGACTCTCTCTCAAAAACAACAACAACAACAACAACAACAAAAACTAGAAAAGAATTTTCTGACCATCCCCGGAGTTAGGTCATAAGATCCTCACGTGAGAGGTGCTCACCTCATAGCTGGAAGTAACGAATGTCCTTGTTCTGAGGACATGAGGACAGAGAAGAATCTGAGAAAGGGCCTCATTCAAAAAGTGTTGTCTCGGTTTGTTACCATTAGGCCCTTCCTCCTTTGTCCGATTATACTTCTCCACAGCTGTCCACATCATCACACCCAGCATAGAGATACACAGAGCACTCTGTTTCTTTGGGTATTCATTTTCCAAGGCTCTCCTGTCACATGAGACTTACTTTAGAAAACCTGTACGCTTTCTGCGTGTTCATCTGTCTTTTGTTACATGGGTTTCAGCCGTGAACCCACTGATGGGTGAGAAAGGAAATCTTTCCTCCAGTGTCCAGGCCACTGTGATACGCGCGATGAGGGGTCTGAGTAGAGACCCAACTGAATCCCATCTCTTCATAGAGGCACAAGACCTTTATTTAGAGCAAACAAAATCTCCCTAAATCTCCATCCTAACCTAGAAAGACAAAAGTTATTATGATGTGGACAAAACTAAGCTCAGCAAGAAAATACTGTTGGTGCCTCTACTTTTTCTTTGGTTTACTTTCTCAATGGAAATGCAATATGGTTAAAACCTTTTCCCCACATAATCTTTTCCTGATGTAATATTTTGTCTTCAGCCTCATGAGACTTCAAAATCTTAACATAATGTTGAAAACCTTGAGAGAGTTGCTTGTATTCCTGTGGGGTCAGTAGAAAGCCTTTCCTATGGGCCTTTCTGAGGGCAAACATCTAGCATCTGTGGGTTTCCAGGACCTCATGGTGAAGTCTAAAGTCTTCTCTTTTTTTCTTGGAGGCAGAGTCTCGCTCTGTCACCAGGCTGGAGTGCAGTGGCGCGATCTCAACTCACTGCAACCTCTGCCTCCCGAGTTCAAGCGATTCTCCTGCCTCAGCCTCCCAAGTAGCTGGGATTACAGGCATGCGCCAAACATACCCGGCTAATTTTTGTTATTTTTAGTAGAGACGGGGTTTCACCATGTTGGCCAGGGTGGTCTCTATCTTTGGCCTCATGATTCACCCGCCTCGGCTTCCCAAAATGCTGGGATTACAGGCATGAGCCACCATGCCTGGCCTAAAGTCTTTTCTACCTTCATAAAGGTTTACGAAAAGTTCAGATTTTTCCATAAATGAGCTATCTGAAAGTCACAAACACAGACTAACACCTATTACAATTGTTTGGCCAGTAAATAAAAATTACTAATAATGTGGAAATTACTATCTTTTTGCCTGTGGGAGTAAGTGCTTCTCTGGTACAGGTTCCCTGTTATCTTT